CGTAAATAGGAGTTGATATGCCCATATGAACCGAACTTTACCGGTTGGATAACTCGGCTAGCTCCCAAGTTGAAAACTATTCGTCATTTGCAATCGGAGCCGGCTATTTTACTCAAATATAATAAATCTGAGGAAATAATTGGCCTGTAGGGTTTCCGCTCAGAAACACTGTTTGTTTTGCGGACGAATGGCCGGAGATAAATTTATTGACCAGGTAAACATTCGGGTAGTTATGTATGAAAAATTGGGCTGTTAAAATCACATATCAGGAAACCGACGAAATACCCCAGGGGAAACTGCCGCGGAAAGTATCAAAAGTTGAATTCGATTAATATTTAAGCCTCCGTTGTTTTCGTTAGAAATCAGTTCAAAACACAGGTTCATTCGAATGTAAATTTGAAATAATCCGATTTTTTCCAGTTCAATCATCGCAACTGGTGTGCTGTCGTTCACTAAAGTAAAGATATTATTTTGGAAACCGTTAAGCAAATACTATTTTCCATTAATATCGACATCAGCTTTGTTTCATTAGCTTAATGCAGTTTAATTAATCTGTTATTCGCAGAGCTTTTGTTCTTTGCAAACAACTGCGACAGATAATCATTTAATTGGGAAAATTTTCAATTTATGTTTCATTTTACATTTAATTAAGGGAGTGCGAGTAAAAAGCTCTCGGGCATAGTTTACTGCAAGTTAAGGTCGTGCTTTTGATCCTCTACAGGAAAACTTTTCCTCGAGCAGCAAACAAAACGGCTGTAATAACGCGATACTGAAACATTATGGCGGAACACTTTAAAACTATTACCTCAGCAAACAAGTTTCCACTTTTTTGAAGCGGATGAAAAATCCAGCAAAACGCCAAACGCATAAATCTTTCCTATCGTCCCACATCCTTGCAATTAAGAAAACCATGTTCGGGACCAAAGAAAAAGGGGCCAACTTAAAAAGATGAAAAAGATTAATTTTTACCGGCTGTAATGACACGGTTGGCATTTATAAAAGATCTCCATACCCGTCCTACAGATAAGTACATGAAATTTTGTTTTTATGGGACCATCCTTTTGCCAGAAGGGACCGAGCGTGAGCGAGACTCGAAATTAGTTTTGTTGAGCTCTTTAGATTATACAGATTGTGTTTTTAGGGATGTACTTTAAATTTACTTACACGTCGGTTGGATGAAGAAATTTTAGAATAATTTTAAAGCAATATTTTTGAGAGGGTTTCGAGGTATGCAGATATAGACTCAATTTAATGTTGATTTATTTGCTAGAAACCAAAATCGTCTCCTAAAAAGTGTTGAATCTACTGATTGCCATCTTAGTTTCATTGACTTTTGCTTTATTCTGTTGTGTTAATTTGCCAATATTTCCTGAGCAAAATTTTCTTGTTCTAACTTATTTGTGACTCGCCATTAGGTGAACAATTTTAAACCTCATTCTGGAAGTTTTGTGTTGTAATCACATTTGAAAAAAAAAAGTTTTTGTTTAATCGTTTAATCGGGTAGAAGATGACCAATATTGCTTCAAGTCCCATTCCTATTAATTCGGCTAAAAGCAGCAGAATTTTAGTTTAACTGCAAAAGTTACTGATTTTCATGTACGACCATCGGCAGCATAGTTAATTCTAAGATTAAAATTCCGGGACTCAGTCAAAAAGTTAAAAAGCAAGTTATAACAAACTTATGAAAAATTATTTTGCTTTGTTTTGAATTCTGTGAAAAATCACAATAAATGAAACCATTTATGCGCACGGATATCCAGACGCTAACTGAAACTGAAAAATACTTATCATTACCAATAATTCCTCATCAACGTGGCTAATGGGATTTGAGATCAGTATCCTGGATTTCTTCCGCCGTATTATTAATTACAGGCGGAAGATAGATGAATGTGTGCGCTGCCATAAGAAAAATTGCTTTCTATAATGAAAGCAGGATCAATTTCTGTTTGCAGTGACATTCTGATAATGAAATGAAAAAGTATTGAAAACTTCCTAATTAATTAACATACTAATTGTTTTAAGTTTCCACACAATTTTCCAGATTAGGGTGAAATTCAAAACCAATTTTATATGGCATACAGCGCAACAATCACTTTGAATTACGTTTTATAAAAATCGTTAAGTAAGATCTCCGATCTGCCCTCTTCGAGGGAACATTGAAACATCCAATTTAATCAATTAGCTCTTTTCAGGGGAGTTAAAATGCTTAACAGCAATTTGCTAACTTGCTCCAATTGCATGTTGTGTCCCGGTTTTCTCAATTAAGTCTGACTTTAATTGAACATCAGCTTTAAACATCCGATATGAAAAGGAATCTATAAAATAAATTAATTTATGTGCACTGTTAAGCAGCTTTTTACTGCAGCATGTCGAAAAATTGCAGAATTTTTATGTTTCATCAATAAATATCGATTGGGGTGGACTAGTGTGCCCTTTATTTATGGGGAAATCAAATTTTCAACTCAATTAACAATCAATATCGGAACATTTCTGAATGGCCGAAGACCCAAATGCTCATGCATACATCTGTCCTGCTTACTCAAGATAAACGTTTAATAAATTGCTTAAGAGACATGTTAGACAGCAAACATGATCTTACTTTGAAAACTTGACAAACAATGCTTAGTTTACCCCCATTTTCCGGTCCTTCCGTTTATTCGATAAAAATTGGTCCATTTACAAAGGATCCGGTTAAATGGAGAGATCCGTTTTGACCCACACGTGTGATCCAAACCCTGCCAATCTTACTTTGGCCGTATTGTAGGAAATGGTATATTTACCAATACAGAAATTGTTTTCGACCCATTACGGCAAAACACACTGAAATTCCGCTATATAAACCTATTAAATCAGCTCTATTTGGCCTTATGGGAGCACTAAATCATTAAGTGTCACGTTTAAGAGCAGAGAAATGAATAGACGTCAGAGTTACCTTAATAAAAGAACTTTAGCTTTCATTTTAACGGCGGGGCATTCTTGCACTTGCAGTTATGATCTTATAATGCAGGAAATAAAATTTGTGGAAGTAACAACGGCAGTTGAAATGGACAAATGGCATCATAAAATTGACATATTACTGGAAATATTTCCTTTAATTTTCTGCATAAAATATGGTCAAGTTGTCATGTGCAGGAGCAAAGTTTACAAACTTATTAACGTTTTACAAATGTACAAGTTCTAATCAAAGCAAAATATAAATTTAACCCAATTAAAAATAACATGCGTATCGTACACTGCTAAATTGTGCACAACAGGCAATTTTTTCCTGCGAATTTAATACAGATGTTCCGTAGCAAATATAGGGCAGATTTTTTCGGTTAAAGCTCCATTAGGCACGATATTTCATTAACGTACCATCGGTCCGAAAGTTGGAATCTGACGGCTGGATCCTGGGGGTTTCGTCGAATCAGAGGAGCAGCGAATATTTCGCTTCAGGAAAAACCTCCCTTGATTTATAGGACGTTTTACAAACGATAAATATTAGAAATGAAGATAAGGCGCTTGAAAAATTTATTGTTACATTCGCCGGGTGCGTATCATTATTCGCTTAAACTAGCTTGTCTTGTTCAGATGGCAAAAAAATTACCTAAAAGTTATCGGCGCTTTTACCTGCTTGTCGCTATTTTCTTAAACTTCTCTAAACGAATGATGTGTCAATTCATTAATAAAGTTAGCAGTGCAAATTAAAAATGGGCTCTATTTAAATTTTCCAGTAAATTTTCTTTACAAGCCGGGAACAGTCGTTGCATTCAAAGCCGATTCAATTTTGATAGAAAAAAGTCGTCGTTTCCACTTCGACGTGACATGAAAGGCTGAAATCGTTTCTTTTCAGGCTCAAAATAGAATTCCAGATAAACCCCATGCCGGATGCAAGCCGGTATCCGATATTCAATCAACTCAAGTTCCAGTTATTTCGATATGTACATATTTTAGTCTTGCCGTGATTGTATCAAACTATTTTTTAAGTAAAAGCAAAATATTTCTTTTCGGGCTTACAATTGATCATTCTACGGCGAAATAACAGAATCAGGCGAACTTTACGGGAAAAGAAAGCACTTACTCGAATACATATTAGAACACTAATGCCATTCCCTTGTTCCTTTATGCACAACTTGTTTTATAGTTTCCTTTCGGCTTGTTTGGAAACTTTGGATTTCCGCAACTGATGAACGCTCTTTTATCAAGTTATTTACCATAATGATGTTTTCTCTTGCATGGCATTTTACAAGACGTCGGCTTTGTTAGGCGAATTGCGGATTGTTGCAGAATCTGAACTGCATCGATTAATTTTATTGTTTTTAGAGTACCAAATTGGGGTAATTTGTAGATTTATGGTTTTGAAACTTGAAAAAAATGTTATAGAAGCGTGCTCAGAACAGCTTAATAGTAATTCATATTATGAAGAAAAATTAGTTATAGATCGCCTTTAAATAAATAAATATAATCTCATGCTTGCCTTAAGATTTCAATGAATATAAGTTAATCAATCAAGAATGTTATTTGATGTAAAAAGTACAAAAGCAGGTAATTGGCATTAAACAAGGATTGAGGACGATGCCACAGAAACAAGCAGAGACAACAGAAACAATTTAAAAAATTCATCTTGAAATTGCTTCCAAGAGTAAAAAAGAAAGGAACAAAAATCGAACATGCATCGCAGACAAGGAAACAAGGTGGATATAAAAAGTTTTCTATTGCAAAACGCAATATTCAACAAGCAAAGAATGAAATTAATTAAAATAAGGCAAAATTAGTGGATGCGAATAGCATAACAGACAAAAATGGCCTATGTGTTTTGGGCTCATAAAATTAGTGTCTGGAGCAATTCAACTATCATTTGCTTAACAGCTATTGTATAAATTACAGTGGTAAATGTCAGCAAATGCAATTAAGGCAACAGAACAGATCAATTTGAAAGTCTCATTTGCCACATCATTAGCCGATTATCTGTTAGAACTTCTGCTGAAATTAAAATTAGTTATAATTCGTTTTTTTTTCAGGTGAATGGCCATTTGGATTAATCTGGTGCAATGTTTATGCAACATGCGACGTTCTCGCATGTTCAGCTTCTATAATGCACATGTGCTTCATAAGCCTTGGAAGATATTTGGGGATCAGAAATCCTTTGAAAACGCGACACAGCACTACCACTAGAACCGTCGTTTTGCGCATTGGACTTGCCTGGTTGTTATCTATGGTAGTATCTAGCTCTATCACAGTACTGGGTGAGTAAAAAGAGCCTTATTAAATATGCAAATATTTTCGCTGATTAAAATTAGTATAGAAGTCAAACGAAGTTGCTGAAGTGAAAGTTGTAAATGTTACAAGTTCAGTTAGGCAGTTACTGAATGTCTGCTTTCTGTGCAAAGAACTTATCTAACTTTGATTACTACTAAAAAGGCCACTGTATACAATATAAGGTTTTCAAGTAATTTTCCGGTAGATAAAGTTATTCGGGAATAAAGATACCGCCCATAAAACGCATTCATGCCTTGAAAGAAGAGATTGATTCAAGGGGAGTATAAGGAAAATAATTTTATGACAAGAAATAAGAATTTAGTATACTACAGTAAGTAACCTCTCAACACTGTCGTTTTAGTAACTTAAATCCTGACTGAGTTAAACTGCTTAATAAAATCAACGTTTTACTGGCCAATTTGAACTAATTTTGGACCGATTTTTTTTTGGTTGGTACAGTCTTTTTTTTTTGAAAAATTAAGGTTCAGATTATCTTTCTACAGATTGGTCAATGAAACAATGCGAAATTGGTGAAAATTCCACATGCTCCCAGTCGGCCAAAAAGAGTTTTTTTGTATTTCGACGACACAGTCAAAAGGCTAAATTTAATATTTCCCAAAAAAAATGTCCATTCTTCGCCCAATTTCTTTGTTTGCAGAGTGGTCTCCAAAAAAGTAAACTTTTGGTCTTTTAGTGATAAATTTTAATCTCTCCGATTTTTTAATTTTAATTGCAATTTAAGGCTCATGTTGAAGTTGAGGCTAAAACTTCAGTCGCCTTATTAAAAAAATATGTAATATTAAAAAAATCAGCTCAAAAATATCAAGCGGAGTTGGGTACTTGTGGATTGTTGTGTTCCATAGAGGAAAGTCGCTTATATAAATTCTGGAAGTTTCAATTTGCCATCACCATTAGGAATTTTCGAGGAATTTTTCGACTGTTAAATTTTCAACAGGATTTTTGGCAGGCTTATGTTTTAAAATTCATATATCATACACCACTCAAGCTGAATATTTCCGAAGAGTTGCGTTAAATAGAGGAAATTGTTCATCTTTAATCGGAAAAGTTTCGATTTTCCATCGATATCAAGAAATGCTGGGGATTTTTTCAAAATTGATCAGTTTCCAACAAGCAATTTTTTAGGTTTATATTTGAAAATTCATATTTCTGGTAAAAATCAAGTTGGGTGCGTCCGGAAGACTTCACTACATAGAGAAATATTGTCTTGGTAAAACCTGAAAGTTTCAATTCGCCACCGCCAGCAGGAATTTCTCGCATTGACCAATTTTTAATGAGCATTTTTGTAGGCTCATGTTTTAAAATTGTTATCTTAGGAACAACCGGTTGTGGATATAGGGAGGGTTGAATTGGATATAAAAAGTCAGCTTTCTTTATCAATATAAAAAATTAATTGGGTTGCATTTTGTATTTTTGTCTAATGCGTCTATGAAGGTTTGGATTCAGCATGAAATCCAGTCAGAAGCGGGCCAAGGCAGAAAATTTATCGCTGGAAGACCAAAAAGTTGATTTTTTTGGGACGACCCGGTAAAATGAAAACATGGCGTAAAAATTCATATTGGTTGAACGCCCAAATTTAAGTTAATAATCTAAACAGGCGCACAATAGACATGTATAGAAATACTTTTGCTGTGCTAAGCAAATACTTGTTTAAGATTTTCAAGAACAATAAATGAAACAGACAAAAAATAAAGTTGCTAGATAATTTCTCAAAAATTAACTTTAAATATGAACCTACGAATCCCAGTCCAAGAGGCGCTAGAATATTAAAGCTCCACACCATTTTAAATTCGAACATTTCCTACTATTTATGCTTCCGCGCAAATGTAAAAAAATGGCAAATTATTACAGCGCTGTGAAACAATTCCCCACTAATACACTTTGGGCATTTTGCAATGTAAATCATCTATGAGCAGCAAATGTATGTACAGTATTTTTAATTTCTGGCGAAAAACCTGCAATTTTCCGCGATTGCTCACGTGAGTTTCATCCGGATATTCTCGCGATGAATAACTAAATGGTAGAATCCATTTAAAAGTTGTCGTAACTTTTTCCGCGAAAAATTGAAGCCTGAAAAATGAGACCAATTGAAAATTCGGCAATGAGGCAAATTTATTTCGATGCGGATGTTCGAATTGCCAAAAATCCCCGAGTCTTTTTAATTTAAAATATTTTACATTTTCCAAGCCGTATGTTTGTTAACACCTCGGTTAACGCTGGAATTAGTTTCGAGTTCACATAGGCAAAAGCTGTGCCATAAATTAAATTGACAAATTTAAAATGCAAGTATGTCAATGAGGTACTCAGATGATGCAGATTCAGGAATATTAACGCGTTGTTGAATGTATAAAGAGCCCCGGATGGTGGATTGGATTAAGAACGACAATTCTTACAAGATTGAATTAGTAGCCATTCGTGTCTTCTTTGCTTCTGAAGTGGCAATCTTGGCACAATAAATAATTTAATGTGCTAAATTAATCGTTTTCTGGAGTCATTGAGTTGAAATCTTCGTTTTGAACTCGTTAAGCTTCATGGACAATAAATGATTTAGAGACTTCAGGTTCTTGCAGTGACCAATCGAAGCTTCAACCGCACCAAAATTTCCACCTGACTTTCTCGCATTTATTTTCAGGCATTATCAACCATGAAAACATCATGCCAGATCCACAAAAGTGCGTTATCAACAATCGAGCTTTTTTCGTCTTCGGCAGCTTGGTGGCCTTCTACATTCCCATGACCGTTATGATGGTCAGCTATGCGCTAACCGTTCAGCTACTGAGGAAAAAAGCTCGATTTGCTGCAGAACACCCCGACACTGATCAGCTTCGCCGATTGGGCGGACGTTTCGCTAACAAGCAAGACCGCACTCCAACAGCACCGCCTGAAAATGCTTTATGGAGGACAGCTGGAAGTGGTGATCGGTAAGAATTTCTAGCTTTATGACCTGATTTCCAACACAGAACGAGAAAAAATCTATAATCCTACGAAAAGGGTTACTCTTCCCGTTATCTTTACCTTCGAAAAATGCCTTTTGGTTAAGAAACTAAATCCGCTTTCACAGAAACCTTTCATGAGCTTTATTAAATAATAAAGGGGCCGAAAGAATCTTATTACGGAACTAAACTCGAATTAGGGCTTATATGGGAGAGGTCTTCGATTTATATCTCAATATTTCCATATTTTCCAGATAGGCCCAAGACCAAGTAAGATTACATGTTAAAGCGGGTTCTTAAGGAGCGCACGATTTATCAGGTTAAGACGTTATACTATGGCGGAATTTAGATGAAGGAGAATCAGACGTTTTCTGACTTCTGAAACAACTTTAAATAACTTTGTCTGTATCTCAACTTAATTTCCAGCGAATTTAGACAAGTGTAGGCTTTTCGTGAATTGGATCAAATTGAAACAATCCACTTTAGTTCCGGCAGCATGACTTGCAGATCCATTCATACAATAAGCTTATTTGCATCCCTCACAATGATACCAATCAAATGTGGTTGAATTTCTGATGTCAGGTTCGCTTTGTTTCCCTAAGCCCATACTTCACTCTCGTGCGAGAGTAAGTATATTAAAATATTTCCGCAACGAAAGGCGAGACTATTTACTAGGTTATTTTGTTAAAACTCTACGCTTCATGAAACAATGCAACTATTGTTCTCTGATGTGATGCCTTAACTCTTTGGCTAAACATTATTGCCTTTTTCACAACATTAAATTGGATTTAGTGCCGCAAGGTTGGGGTCATTAGATTACATGTCAATTCCAGATTAATTAAAATCACTAATCACATTGCGAGGGATTGTAATTACTCGGGCTTGTGGCCCACTTGGACTTTAAGATACGGAACAATACTTTACCTACAATTAGTGTGGAAATAGGCCACTGGTTGGCAAGTGCGTTTACGCCATGATTTGATTTATTGATCATTATTCAAGTTTGACCCTTTCGAATTACAGTTTTGAGAAATTTTAAAGATAGTAGTTAGCCACTGTATTTTGTTTCTTAATTGCATGAATCTCTATTTTATTTCTACCCAAAAAACTGTTCGGTTTGTAGCAAAACTTCGCATAAAATATACAGCTAAACCCCAGTCCCGTATCCCGTCTAATATAGAAACTTTTCTTTGAATTTGCAGCCCAATCATTCCTCACACACAGTTCTCAACAATTTTTTACATCGCCAAACTTTCACAAATGCGTAGCTCAATTAGAGCTAACTGTTGAACTTATTAAAAGTTGGCAATGTTCGTCTCCCGCGTTATCCCAGTTGGAGCTTTACGCCAGATTTATTCCTTCCTCGGAGGTAGAATTAATTGAAACATTTGGCCAAAACACCTAATTGTGAGACACATTAGCCATGGGAATAATGTAGTTTTTATCTAAGTCTACTTGAACGTTCAGTAGACTTAAATAAAAGAAAACCTTCTAATTTGCTGTGCTTTTACTGGTGTTGTGCCAGAGAAACTCGGTCTTAGAAATGCATTGAAGAACCCGATGCATTAAGATAAACATTAGTGGAAAAATAGTAACAGTTTTCACACTAAAAGCGGAAATTTACATCACACATTTGGGTTCAAGATAAGAGCAAAATTTCATGCACTTTCTCAATCGTATATCAAGAGGAACCGAAAAACCGAGAAGGCCCAATATTACTTGAAATTGACTCAAGAAAGGTCACTTTTCTCGACGTTTTTAAAAACTATTTGAGATATAAAACTCGTTTTCCTAGCATTGTTTTCAGAATAAAAATCCGGAATGAGTCGGTGAAACTAAAGTGAGGAAATTGAAGAGCTTTTTACACCAAGAGTGATCTTTTAGAATCACACATTTAGGAGCAAGATAAAATCCAACTTTCATGCATTGCTCCACTTTTTTAATCATATCTGAAGAACCAACTGAGCTGGCAGGCTCAATTGTACGCCACTGGATAAAGCATTAACCAGTACATTTATGGGGTGCAGTACCGTTTGCAAAATATGTTGGTGTTCTACGCAAAAGCCAAAATATCAGTAAAACTCCTAATTTTGCGCGGTTGTTGGTTGTTCAAAATCGACTCAAACATAACGCCGCTTTCTCAACGTTCTTTAAAAACCGTTAGAGCTACAGAGCCCGTTTTCCTACCATTGGATAGAGAATGAAATGAGAGATTCAGTAAAGGGGACTTAGACACGATAAGAAATATTTTATCCATTGCTCCACTTTTTTAATAATATATCAAGAACCAAATGTTCCAAGAAGCTGAATTGCACACCACTGGATAGAGCACAGTTTTACAGCAAACCGCCGCTTAAAAAATGTGTTTAGTGTGTAAATAAAAAGAAAACATTTTTCAAATGGGTTTTTCGAAACCCATCTGAGCAAGCATTGGATAGAGAATTGGATGTAGAACTCTATTAAGTAGGTGGAACTTGCAAGATAGAGCTAAAATTTTGTGCATGATGCCACTTTTATGGCACATTAATAAAGGAAAGCATCTTCATTCGTAAAAATGGTAGAATTTGACGTCAAGTACAGTCTAATTCAATATTCGTTCCGTAATCTGGATTATTTCAAATGGCGTAAATAACACGCCTGAAGAGTTTTGCTTGTCCCAAAACAATATCAGTAAAAGAGCAAAAACATAATTGCAAATTTACTTTTAACATTAAATATATTTGGCTCTGGGGATTTGCGAATTTAATTAAACGTAATTTAATAGATTTAATTTGGGACTCCTTAAGATCTTGCTGTAGAGTAACAAGGGCATGTAAATGAAAATACTCCAAAAGCGTGAACGATTAATGAGTTTTATAACGACGAAAGGATACCGGAATGTTTGCAAAAAAACTTCAGTTTTAATTGAAATGTACATGCACAAAGAGCAGGTTAAAAAAACTTGAATGAAATTTTTATTTAAAAAGCAATCAGGTGCTAGATTATACAGAGTGTCTAGTAATTAGATGGTCGAGCTTACATCTTCCTTCAAACCAAAAAAAAACATGTTTTGGAATTAAAATGTTCAAAAAAATACTGTGGTCACTCACAATTGAAAACTCCTACTAAAACCATACTCCTTACTAACCTGAATCAGTCCTTCACATTTAACCAGAAAATCTTCGCATATCCCTTCTGGGGAAGCGTTTCTCCTGCCCAACCCTTATCAATTTTTGGAAAGATTGACATTCAGACAAATTTCCCATCCCTTTAATACCAACTTCCCTATCAGCTAAAAGTTGTGATTTACGTGGGAGTACTGAATGGAACAACGATGAGCGGAAGTTTTTTGCTTATTAAAAACTTGCAGACACCTACTGAATCTGTCACATCTCATTCTTGTTAGCTGAGCGTTTCGTCACGATACAATGGTCTCGTAAACATATGGAAAGCAGGTGAAGTGATTTTTTGCTCGCATTTCAGTCCAGATTTAAATGGAAAAAATCGGCCTTTTTAATTGTTAAATATTTCAAAAGTAAATAATTTCCATGGAAGTGTAATTGTATGGTGAACGTAATGTTGTAATGCAATGGTGTTGTCAGCAAAAGCAAGTAATTTTGTCCGTAATTATTTTTCGTTTTAACGCAAATCAACGTTTAGAGCTTTTTTCATAAAGCTGCACCAGTGTGATAAAGATTTAGTTTTAATTGGAGCAAAACCCTTTTGGGGATTCAAAAAATAAAATTCCCCTTTCAATCGTTCTACTGATTTGAAGTTGGTTCATTAATTTTAAACTTTGTCCCCGGTTTTTCCCCAGGCTTTCATTTATAGAATTTTCCATCTTTAATGTGGATTTTAATCATTTTTTTCCCTCTACAAAATTAATAGAAGTACATTTTGCAAGCAGACAATAAATGAAATTTAATTAACTCTTTAGAATAATGCGAAACCAGCAAAATATTGTAACATTCCCGTCATATCAATTTTATGCTTTTAGAAAATACTGATGAATCGTCTGTGTTTAGCAGACGTATTACTCGACTTTAATCCCACTAATTTGGCGTCAAACTGCTCGAATTTCCCGAAATTTCGACTAAACTTTAATACATAAACTCCGCCAACAAATATGTTTGGAGCTTGTTGCCATTCGCAGTAAAACCGACTGTCTAATCTCCACTTGACGACTTTCTCAGATCAGCATTAGGGTCTAATGAAGGGGAAACATCTTCAAGAATCATTTAAAGCTCGGGATTAGAACTTCTGTTTTGATTGATTATATTTAATAATCCCCCCGAGAGTCTTATTGGGGAAGTTTCAACGGTTGTTATGCCGTAACGCCTCTGTCATTTTGTCTGCCATTCTTGCAATCATGTCCTTTCTGAAACCTCTTTAAGGACCATTTGGCGGAAGATGGATTATCTCATTTTAGTATCGACAGCACTGCTTAACTGGCGGCTGATAATGGAAAATATGCTATCGAATTGCTCTAAAGTGGTCGGAGAGTAAAACAGTTCATAGAAAATTGTTCTCGTGGACGCTTTTTACTATATATTATGTGTGCTTTTGTGCCACCGGTAGTTTTTCGTAAATACTGTTCGACTTATGTGGAACAAAAAATCCCATCTTCATGTAAAAGCGACATTCTCAATATTTGTTTTAGATACATAAATAATTTTGGCGAATTTTTCAAACTGAGCACAATCGTAAATATGATATTGTAAACCCTTTATTATTATACAACAAGCCTGCACTTTAACTAAGAGAAAAATTATTAACTCGAAATGATTACATTTGCCCTATTTTGGTCATTTTAATTCAGAAATTAATATACATTAATTGCGGTATCTTTTTGCTTCTTCAAAGATGCTCTATTTTACACCGTCCAGAGCTGGCAGTTTGGCGCTCTCAATGTGTTGATTTTCCGAGATTGAACTACTTAATCTTTATTATTCACTTTTAACCGCACAATTAAAGTCACATACTAATCGGTCTCTAACTTAAGGTTAATTTTTAAATGTATTTTCCTTTGAGGTTCTCTTATTGCTTAAGTTGATGAGCTCGACTCTTAACGTACGTTACACTTTATAGTTATTTAACTCAGGTTTGCAGCCAAAAATTTTCATTTGCTTGAAGTTGGAAAGTTCCCAGGCAGCGCATACGTTATAAATTATAAAAATGTCCCTTTAATGGCAATTTTTATTAATGTAAGTCTATATCAATTTTTTTTTATAGAGTCGATCTGTTACAAATCATAAGGAAACTGAAGGAAATGAAGGAATTTTTGGAAAATAAAGCAGAATATTGTTCTCGATTGGCAACAGACGTGTAAAAACTTCTAAGTTTTCGTGTAGTTTTTTCAAGATTCGTATTATGGTCATTTAAGCTAGTTCTATTTTACGTCCGGCTCAGTAAGACTCAATTTTAAGGGAACAGATTTTCCTTCAATTAGTCATTTTAAATGACGATTTTAGTTTCAATTTTAAATGAACATCAATAGAGAGTTGGTGTTAAAAGCAGCAAAATTCAAGATCATTAACGCCATTAAGCATTTTCCTTCCAATATAATCGGAAAGTAGAAAAATTGCGGACGTACATGAAACTAGTTGAGTGAAAATCTCATATTTGTACGCAATATTTGTAACAATTTAGGCACATGTATTGTCCACAAATTCTGGTGGCATAAAGCACATTTTCTCGTCTCAATTGTCCCCAATCCCCATTTCAGATATTTGTTCGCAGGTGTTGCGGAATTATTGATAGGCCTTGAAATATTAAACTCGCTTTTCCCTATTCTGATGCCCGCAGTAATATGAATAATATGATTCCTGATTTATGTAACACTATTTTTCTTCACTCTGCTGAACGCCAATTGAATGCCAAATCATTGAAAAGTAAAAGTTGAGGCTGTTTATTGAATTGTAAAAGGGAAATTATCAGCTATTTTGCTTCTAAAATTCTGTATGTCCACGGCTTAAATGGAAGCTGTAAATTAACTTTCAATTTTTTGCTGGGCTTTTATCACCCCCCATGGCCGACATGCAAATATCAGAGAAATGTCCAGGCTAAATAGAAGGGCGATTAGTTAATTTTCCACGCATCACGAATTCCAAAAGCGTCCGTCAAAACCCATCTAAACCATCTGCCTAATATCAGCGCAGTTCGATGAACAGCTCCTATGTCAAGATTATCCCTGATTAGTTAATTGTTGATATGACAATGAGCTCATCGAGGTCCGATACGAATTTTACAATGGATCAGGTGAAATAACATAAACGCGCATTGCAGTAATTTATTTTGTCATAAGTTTCACATCTCAGTTAAGTTTTGAAACAACAGTGTTTTCATCTTGAGTTTCAGATGCCAATTATAATATTGCAAGCACAGTCAAGTCCCTAACTATACATTGAAGCAGCTCCACCGAACTCCTCAGATCCGCTTTCAAGCATGTAGTTAAATCAGCCTGTCCTTGAATAATGGAATATAGTTGAAAGACAACAATCGCTAAATAATGCCGACAATAATGGGTTCCTAATTACTTACTGCGAACTAATAAACTTCATTAATAATTGCAGATCGTCGAATATGAGACTGACAAACTCCCACGGTCAGTTATCTTTCGCCAATGGGGGCAACGGAAATTTAACATCCTCGAGAAGAGATCAAGGCACACAGACTCCCGAGGATATTGCAAAGGAAGCCCGAAATTGCCGGCTCAAGTCGCTCAAGTTGCAGCTCAACAATACTACTTCAAATCTCACGAATTTCAGGTAAGATTTTTAATTATTTCCTAACTTTTACTGGATAATTATGAAGAATTGCAACTGATA